TTTTTCTCTGAAGGGGCGTTTCCCCAGTAAAAATTTTTTTCATAGACGATGGGGTTGACCAGTGCATAAATTGTGGGAAAAAAAATTTGACCAAATTTGGGTTTAAAATTTAAAAGAAGAAAGTCCCCGACCCAATTTTTTTAAATCAAGAAAATACCTGAGAGATGTAAAATTTTAATCTGGACAATTTCTGGGGGACGACCCCCGTGGAGCTGAACCAAACCCCGAAAATTTCCCCCTAATTACAGAATGGCATATGGACAATTAAAGGGTCAGCTCCGCGAACTGGTAAAAACACCCGAATTGTTAAAATGCCTATAATGATATAATTTCTGGGGAGTTAATTAATAATTTTTAGAAGAGGTTAAACCCCCTGAGGGAAAACCAAAAATTTTTTTTTGGGCCTATTTTCCACATCAAAAGGTGAAGAAGGATTCAAAAACCCCTCCCTTTTTAGGGTTGGGTTTAAAATTTTAGTGCCCGGAGTAAAAAAAAATTACCTAATTTAAAAAGACTGGGTTTTATGACAGGGCCGTCGTTGACGGGAAAAAATTTGGAGATTTTCTTTTTAAATTTTAGGATGAAAAATTTTTCCTTACAGCTGACATAAGTAAAGCTTTCCCCAAGAGTGGGGAAAAAGAGGTGACCGGGGGTTGTAAAACCCATTCTTTTGGCTTTGAAATCCTAGTGCCCCACTTAGCCCTCTGAAAACCTTTCCTTTAGGAGCGGGAAAATTTTTTTGGGGCCACTTTCCGTCCGTTTTTCCCACTCAAGCAACGAAAATGCACACCTTAAAAGGGATGGGGAAGGGCCTTGAGTAAAGGGAAGGGCAAACAATTTTTTTGTGGACAATTTTCCCCGGGTGGGACGTCAATGAAAAAGGAACTGTTAAAAGAAATTTTCGGAGAGGCTAATAAAAAAAAATGCAAAAATGCAAAAAATGCCTTTGAGAGAATGGGAAAATAATTCGTCCAAATTGAAGGACAAAATAAGTAAAAAAAAATTACCCCGGGAAGAATGGAAAATGTCAAAATGTAGTAATGTATTGGGTTTAAATTGGGATACGAGAAAGGGTTTTGTTAATGTTAAAAAAAAAACCCAATAATACGTATCCCAAAAAATTAACTAAGGGAGTTTTGCTTGCTGAAGTTTCCAAATGGGTTTTTAAACCACTAGGGTTTTGTTTTCACCCCTTACTATAAGAGGGGAAATTTTTTAAAATTTAGGGGAAACATGGGAAAATTAAAAGTGCTTTGGGGGTGAAATTCTACCTGAGGAATTTTAAATTTAAAAGGGGGGGTGAATTAAATTGGGATTTTAAAAAAAATTCCAATGTTGGGGTTCCCCCCTGCCCCGGGGGCCCAAACCAAATGGGGAAAAATGTACTCCCCATTTTTTTGTGATCTTCAAAATTGGCATTTGGGGGCATTGCTTATCTTCAATGTTTAAAATTTATTTCTCTTGGGTTTTGGGTTTAAAGGTAAAAGGGGTCTCCAATTAAATTTACCCCTTAAAAATTTTTTCCTCAGTTTAATTAACAGCCCCTTTAAAGTAGGTGTCCCAAAATTTGCTAATTATATAAAAATAAGTTTTCAGGAATAAATAAATTTCGACAAATGTAAAATTTTGGGCTGATAAAAAGGTAAACTTTAAATGGGCATAAGGGAAAAAAGTTAAAAATTGGGGTTGTACAAAAAAAGAGTTTGCTGAAAAAAAATCTGATTTCAAGAGAAAATAATATTTTTGTTTTGCATATGTTAACATTTAATCATAACCTGGGGAGGGGAATCCAGGGCCCAAATTTCTTGTCTCGAGTTTCACCCTTTGGGTAAATTTTTAAAAAGCTTATCATGGTTTAAAAAGGAAACCCACTGGGGTGGTAAATAAAGCTAATCGGGCCGTACAAAAGGGGAAAATTTTGGGTCCTGTTGAAAATTTTCTGTGACCAAAACCCTTTCCCAAAAGTTTGTCCTTTCCCTTTGCCATTGATAAAAAAAGGAAATTTTTCTTTTCCCCCCCTAATCAATGTAACTAAGTTGGTGGGTTTAAAAAATTTTTAAAAAAATAAGAAATTTTTATTTTAAATTTTTTTTTATCCTCTGAAATTGGATAAAGAGGGTTTCAGGAGGAAATCTATGGGGAAAAGAGATTAAATTGATGATGGGAAAAAAAAAATTGTGAAAGGGGTTTCCCTAAAAAGAAAAATTGGGGCTGAATTTTGAGAAAAAATGTAAAATTAAAGGGGAAGAGGTAGGTTTTCAAATGCTGAAATTTGGGGATTATGCTAAACACCCCATCCCTTTCTTTCCCCAAAAAAATTTTCATCAACAAAAATTTTAATTTTTACTAAATGTCCATAAAATGTAATGGGTGGGGGACAAAAAAACCTTAAATTTTATTAGGGAAACTTTCTGGATTCCCCAAGGACGGCAAAGTGTAAAAAGGGGATTAAATCTTGTGTAAATGTTTTCCGGTGGGGTGCCAGATCCTATATGTACCCAGGTCCCCCCACCATTGTCAAATGGCAAAATTTTTGCCGTTTAGCAACAAACTCCAGCCACCGCAGTGTGGAAAATACTGTATATATTTTTTTCCCGAAATTCATTTTTTATATGTGAATAGAATTTGGGCCCTACTATATTTAAAAAAAAATTTGTCAAAGAAAACGGAAAGCCCCGCGTCTGCACAGCCCGGGGCTCGCCATCTTGGTTTTTGGGAAATTTGGGTACAACGGTTAAAATTTAAAAGCAAGGAAAATTTTTTAAGCTCTGAGGTTAAAATTGGACTGGGCCCCCTCTCAAAAAGGAGGCGAAATTGTTTGGGTGTGCATTTCCCGCATAAAATTGAGAAATTAGACGACGGGCAAAACAGCTCCAGGAAAACCCCAAAATAAGCCTCTTGATTTGTGTATAAAATTTTGGCCCCTTTTTTTCATAAAAATTTTGTTTTTTAGGTTTTTCTTTTGGGATGGAAAAAACTTAATAAACCCGGTTTATATTGGTGAGGATATTAAGATTTTAAATTTTTCCCTTTTGTTATGTAAATGTGAATTTTTTTATAAATTTTTTAATATACAAATTCACAAAATTTTTATTTTTACCCAGTATTCCTTGGGGTATTTATATTTTCATATAATTAATGGTCCAGAGCAAAAATTGTGGGTTTTGACGTTTGGGAAGGGATCGAAGGGGGCCAAATTTTTGCGGGCCTACTGTCCCAAAAATTTCCCACTTTTTCTATGTAACATTGATAAAAAAATAATTATTTTTTGTTATCATTCACTGTTTTTGTACATAATTATTTTTCATTCAGGAAAAAAGCAATAGTCACCGAAGGGTTAGTAAAACATTATTTTTCGTCGCCCCAGTTTGTTCCCTCCCTTTTTTCTTTGCCCCACTTCGCTCTTGCCTTCCCTTCAGTTTCCCTTTCTATGTTCTTTTTTAGCATCTCCTTTTTTCCCCCCCCCCCCCCCCCCCCTGGGAATTCCAGCTGTTCGAGTTTTGTTTTTTTTTTACTCCCTTTCGCGAAAGCCCCAAATGCCTATGGGTAGCTTCCCGCTCCCCTTTTTTTTTGACCACTTACGCTTTTCATTCTCATGGGCCTCGCAGTGTACCAGATGGCTTTTGTCTTCCCGATTTGGGGTCGGATTTTCGCAGGTTTCAGGGCAGGTCTGCGAGGACATTTACCCATCCTCGGCAGCATTTTTAAAAACTAATTTTTATGCCATTTTTTACAGCAAATTACCCCCCGTATTGCATTTTTTGCCGTGTAAACATTTGTGGGTTTTTCTCAACTCCCTTAGTGCTTTTTACGGCTATACAAAAAAAAAAATTTTCCCCCCAACCCCTAGTCCCCGTATCCAACTTGGCTACGCCGTAAAACTCTCCAAGCATAAAGATTTTTGTTTTTTTTTTGGGTCCCTGGTCAAGTTGGGGGGTACAGAGCAAAGAACAGGGAGAAAATGCTGCGCGGTCAGCAGTACATGGCCCACCAGTTTCATATAGAGGTGTTCCATTTACGGACTATTTTGCTGTAATAGCTACCCACCTTCACACCATTGGCAACAACGTTGGTCTAATCTACTCGGAGCAAACTTCATTTATTAAACCGGTATAGATTACTGGCTGTCCTTTGTCATCGTGTCGAGGTTGGGGGGACTACTCTCTCCCGTTTCGCTTGGCCACACTCGTCTTAAATCATGGGTATCCATGGAGAGGCACCCTGTCCCTCTCTGTGAGACGTGCCAGGTTCCAGTATCGGTTTGCCACATTCTGTTGACTGCCCCCTCTATCACGAGCACGCAGAATTTACCTCCAACGTCGTCTCCATCTACTACTCTCTCTTTACCCTTTCCCCTTTTGCTGATGGACCCTCCTGTAATCCTGACTCTCTCATTGACTTCTTGACAACAACTGACTTACGTCCCCAACTCTGATGCGATACCCTTTTGCAACTCCCCTCAGCCCTTTCTACCTCAATCTCTTGCTTTCCCTCTACCCATGCCTATCCACTGCTGCGCTGTTCTCCTAACCTACTATTATTTTTCTCCCTTTTGCCACCTGATATCCCCACTTCCTTCTGCCCTGTAGCGCTGTATAGCCCTTGTGGTTTAGCGCTTCTTTTTTTATAATAATAATAATAAAATAATGCTGTCTCTGTTCACCCCAGCAGTAAGTAGGTACCTGGGTGTTAATCGACTGGTCAGGGTCGCATCAAGGGAACAAAATTGAAAAACCCCTTTAAAAATAAAACAAGACGCACTAACCTTTCTTGGGTTATCCTGAATGGCTTAACCTCCGGGTTAAAATCCGAACAGCTCTAATGTTATCTTACCACTACCACCCCGGAAACTTCACTCGGTTGTAAGTACTGTCTCACATCCAACTCCAAATTTGAAAGGAACGTTTAGACGAAGTTTCTGTCCACACTGAAACCCTACAATGATTTAAAACCCAAACGATGTTTAATATTTCTTCTCAAAATTGTTGGTATGTTGTGAATTGTTGTAGCCACGCACGTACTGTGCCCTTCATTCTGTGGGTTGTGAGTGTTTACGGCGGTGACGAGCGTGGACCATGAGCTCACACAGGAAGACCAAGCTTGACAAGCACAGTCCAGCACACAGCACAGTGAACACACCCTGAGAGCACTTACTGTTAGTTTGTTAGGTATGAGGCCTATCAACTGCATGTGGCTATTTAAAGCTACAGTTAACTAACAAACTAGCGTTAACTTACCCACAGACCATGTATATTATAAGGTTCGTTCACTGTGATGGTAGAGGGAGCCTTTAAACAAGACGTCACGTTTTTAAGTTCGTTACCAATCCACTCACTGTATAGGTTGTGCTCAACCAGGGCCTGGATCCTGCAACATACAAACACTTTCCATACACCAAAAACGCGCAATTAGAACCTTATGACGACGTTTCGGCCACTTCTGGGCTACTGTCAAGTCACAATGAGGCCACAGTATTTGACAATGGTCTGGGACGGAGCGAAACGTCGTCATAACTTCCTCTCTTAAATGCGGGCGGTTGGTGAATTTTTCCAGTCAACGTATTGTGACATACTTTCTAGTTGTTTACCACAGCTTGAGCATCACTAGTGTTCCTATTTTCATGAAGGTAATGGAATAAAACCTAGCAGAGGAATATTGTATGCATGGCTAATTTTTTACTTTTCGTGTCATTCCACTAATAGGATTCCTACCGTAGCAAATTAAAAATCAGAGTTGTTCACTTTACGTAAAATCATAATCATGACCTCGCTAAAATTTATGAACATTTCCTCTTTGAGTGAAATATGTTTATAAATATGTTTTAAATATAGTTTATAAATATCACAGTAACACATAAGCAAAACAAAAACAACTTTACACTAACCAGTAATTTATGGCCGGCATAACAGGCAATCCTCTATGAGCGATGATGCAGAAAATAAGTGGGAAGTATGCCTCTTTAGCCATGTAGAAGTCACATCTTCCTGAAGGGAAAAGCGGGAAAACTTAAATGCTAAAAGTTAATATTTTTCTCTCTACACTGTCACTCCCTGCTAAAAAAACAGTAATGTTGTGAAGAATGGGTTTAGAGAAAACATGTTGATAAATTAGACACATGGCAATCTTGGGTATCTTTTGAGGAAACGTTTCGCCCAAAAGTGGTTCTCAGTCCTACAAAGGAGAACTTGAGAAAAAGGGGAGAATGAGGGAATCGTCCCCCAACCCTTAGTCGATTGGCAGTCCCTCAATTTGATAGAATACGGCATAGGTGAAGGGGGTTATAAACCCTTGGCAGGAGGTGCAGAAGTCATAGGTCGTTAACATTTGTTCAAAGTTTAAGTAGGTTTGCCAAAAATTGGGAAGCGAAAAATTTTCCCCAAATTTAAGACCCCAAAAATTGCAGTGTCTGACAGGTTTGTGATGAATGGTTCAGAGAAACCCACATGTTGAAAAATTGAAAAATGTGCAATCTTTGGGGTTATTTATTGAGGAAACGTTTCGCCACACAGTGGTTCTGTCCCTACAAAGGAGAATCTGAAGAAAGGAGGGGAAAGAGGTAAACAGTCCCTCAACCTTGATCGATGTGGTCAGTCCCTCAACTTGAATAAATACGGCATACGTGCTGAAGGGGAGCTTAAAACCGTTGGCAGGAGAGGTGCGAAACAAGGTCGTGTAAAATTTGTTCAAAGTTTAAGTAGGTGTGCCCAAGAATTAGGCAAAACGAAAAATTCCAGTATTTGTCCAAGAAGTTGCAGGTCTGACAGGTTTGTGATGAATGGTTTAGAGAACCCAAGTTTGATTAAATTTGGGGAAAATGGCATCTTGGGTTCTTTATTGAGGGATACAAAAACCCCAAAAGAGTCTGTACAGCGTAACAAAACCCTTCACTGCTTTTGGGGAATCGGAAAAATTTCATAAAGTTTTATACAGGGGTTTAAAACAGCAATCATTTGGAACCTAACCGTCTGGTCATTAAACCATGCATACAGAAACTTTGCATTGAACAGAATTTTCAAAACCCTTTGGCGTAAAGGAGAGTGATCTCCTCAAAGTATGAACTTTTTCCCAAAACAATTTTCGATAAATTTGGTGACACCACACCTTTTCCCCATTCTTGTATCAAGGTAAAAAAAAAAAAAACGCTTCTTGGGGAAATAGGCAATATGCCAAAAAGAAAAAAAGATCGGGGTAATTCCTACACCTTCTACTTACCAACCTCAAAGCAACTAGGCTTCAACGATTACCTAAAGAACATAAACCTAACGTACTTCTCCGATCCATCACTTCTTGGACTGGCAGCCCCCCACATAGCTCTAAGCCCCTGGTCAAACACCTTTTTAATATGCCCTTAATCTCAGGTGACTCCTTAATGCTTGAAAGACTTCTACTTACTCAAAAGTTCTGACGTCACTGCCCTATTCACTAATGTAGTGGTAGACCAAGCTATTGACGCCATACAACGTAAGCAGTGGTGACCTGGCCTTCCTGTCTCACGCCAAGATTTCGTCGATCTGATCGAACTGTCCCCACGCTACACAGCCTCTCACTGTCATCCTAGAAATCTCTTTACGGAACATTTACAAGCTAACCGTACCCTGATCATCACACCTAAATCAGTCATCAGGTGAGGTACATACAGTAGATTAGGTGTCCTGTAGCTCGATCGCTAGGGCATCAGCTCACACAGAGGTCCGATGATCGAATCCCCGGTATGGCTGGAAAACATTAAGACGTGTTTCCTTAAGACACCTGCTGTCCATGCTCACCATCAGTAAAATGGGTACCTGGGTGTGGGTCGCATCCTAGGACAAAAATGACCTAATTTGCCCGAAATGTTTTTCTATACATGTAGTAGTATGTCATTGATGTCAGTAGGCTTGTATGCCTGGAGATTATGGAGAGGGTTTCGGGGGTCAACGCCCCCGCGGTCCCGGTCTGAGACCAGGGCCTTATGGTGGATCAGGGTCTGATCAACTAGGCTGTTACTACTGGCCCCACGCAAGCTGACGTACGAATTTACAGCCCGGTTGGTCAGGCACTGATTTTAAGGGGCCTGTCCAGTGCCTTCTTGAAGACAGCCAGGGGTATATTGGTAATCCCCCTTATGTATGCTGGGAGGCGGCAATTGAACGGTCTTGGGGCCCCGGACACTTATTGTGTTGTCTCTCAGTGTACTCCTGGCGCCCCTGCTTTTCATCGGGGGAATGTTGCATCTCCTGCCGAGTCTTTTGCTTTCATGTGGAGTGATTTTCGTGTGCAGGTTTGGTACCAATCCCTCCAGGACCTTCCAAGTGTATATTATCATGTATCTCTCTCGCCTGCGTTCGAGGGAATACAGATCAAGGACCTTCAACCGTTCCCAGTAGTTTAGGTGCCTTATCGCACTTATGTGTGCCGTGAAAGTTCTTTGTACACTCTCCAGGTCTGCAATGTTGTCAGCCTTGAAGGGGGCAGTTAGTGTACAGCAGTATTCCAACCTAGAGAGTACAAGAGATTTGAAGAGAATCGTCATGGGCTTGGCGTCCCTAGGTTTAAAGGTTCTCATCCTATTATTTTCCTAGCGGATGAGGTAGATACATTGTTGTGGTCTTTGAAGGCGAGATCGTCTGACATTATCACTCCCAGGTCCTTCACATTACTTTTCCGCTCTATTGTAAGGTTAGAATTTGTGGTATATCCTGGCACATTTTTAATTTCTTTAAGTTTTCCTTATCTGAGCAGTTGAAATTTCTCCTCGTTGAACTTCATATTGCTTTGAGTGGCCCATTCGAAGATTTGGTTGATGTTCGCTTGGAGTCTCGTAGTGTCTTCGATGAAGGTCACTGCCATGGCGATCCGGGTTGTTTGCTTGTTCAGACCAGAGCTTTGGTGAGATGGGTAAGGAAGAAGGATGGGTAAGGATAGAAATATTGGAAAAGGGTGGGAGGGGGGTGAGAGGTAGGATATAAAGGCAAGTGGCCCAACCACTTTGGTGTAATTTAAAAAGTGTACGTGAAATGATAAGATATTCTTTAAGAGGTATAATACTAACCCATCAGAGTCACATAGATATAACAGATATATAAGTACATGACTCTGAATTGGTAGTAATTATACAAGTTGCAATTGTTTTTTTTTTTTTTTTTTTTTTTTTTTTTTTTTTTTTTTGCGATTGCAAACGGATTTTATGCGAAAAGGAAGGCAATTTTTTCTGGCCGTTTTAGAATTTTCGTGACAATGGCTTCTTCAGGTGGTGCCCGCCTAGTAATAGCAAAATTTTTTTACTTAAAAAAGTTATATAAGATGTCCCCCAAATTTTGGGGGGGGCGATGATTTTCTGTATACATAAAGGGTTCTGGTGGTCCCCAATTTCTTATCGGGAAGTTGCTAAATTCAGGGTCGATGTAATCATCTTTATAATCGCCGGACCCTCGCGGGAGAGTCATTCTTTGAGCCCGTGAGGAGGAGTTTGATTTATAATCTGGGTTTTCCACTTGTATGGTGTTCTCTATTGGCATATTCTTGGAGTTTTTAAAGCCAGAATAGAAAATTTGGGGGGTCTTAAAAAACACCAATGGAAAATAAATAGTGAGATTGCTAAATGAGCATGATATTTTTCGGAAATTTTGGGGGACTACTGGCCTCTCACATTTGGGGGCTTAGATCTGTGTTTGGTTTTATAATCTATACGATGCATGATCTGTCATAGTTTATGATTTCATTGATCCTTCCAAGACTAAAAACTGTCAATTTGTCACACTCAGAATCGGAGCTAAAAACAGAAGGAGGAAACTTATTCTCAACCAGAAAACCCGAGACAATTTATTAACCACTTGGATCATGGATAAAAAATTAGAGCCCCTTGGGACACAAAAATTAAGATGATTTAATTCCCCTATTTAGGTGTTCCCAAGATCAAGTGGGGAGGAATGGAAACAAAAACCCTCCACTAAAATAACAATAAAAACCAATGTAAAAAATATAAAGATCCACAGTGGCAACTAAAACCCTGCAGCTGGGGATTGGT